GACTTCATCTCAAATTCTTTGAACATGTTATTAGGAGTGACCAGTGTCTGGATAAGAACATGGTGCTTGGTGGAGAGTTGGTGAAAAAGAGGAAAATGCTCAGAGATAACTATAGGAATGGGCTCAAACATAGTCACAATTATAATTAAGGCACAGGACTAGGCAATGTTTAGTTCTGTCCTACATGGGGTTGCTATGAGCCAGAACTGACTGAATGGCATTTAACAACATCACCCTAGATGCAACAGAAGCCAGGCAATGTGTCCTTTTAGATGTATTCATTACTACCGCTGGTATGGTGCTGTAGGATAAGCACTGGACTGGTAATCACAAGGTAGATAGTTCAACCCATCAGCTGCTCCTTGGAAGCCCTATACATGGTCACTGTGAGCTGGAACGAACTCAAAGGCATTTAAGAGCAATAGCATTACTACCCCAAATCAATGTAGGAATAAGGGAGAATGGATTGAGGAACTCAACTGCTCAAGCCTACCACAGACCCAGAGTAAAATAAAACGTGTGTCTGTATCAGTCAGTAAAAGAATCAGCCTTGTGACTTATACCAGAGTTTTGAAGCACATCATTAGTACTGGGCCTTTGCTGAGATTTTGTGCCCTGTGAATCAAACATGTTTGTGAAAATCCTTAGACATCTTCCTCTCCTTGTGTCTTCTCACACCAAATCCCCACACTCATTCCAGAAAATGTCCTCTATTTTAATCAATTGTTGTTGTTGTTAGGTGCCATTGAGTCAGTACCAACTCAGCAAACTTATGCACAGCAGAATGAAACACTGCCCAGTCCTGGGCCAACCTCAATATTGTTGCCACACTTGAGTCCATAGATGCTGCCACTTGGCCATTCCATCTCATTGAGGGTCTTCCTCTTTTTCTCTGACCCTCCACCTTACCAAAGTATTAAATTTAATAAATTATATTTGACTGTGTATCCATTTTTACTAATCACTAGATTGTTTGGTGTAAATGAACACTCATAAAAACTCATGTTTCCCCAAATTATGTTGCTGCGGAGTTCTAGATGGGCAAATTAAAGTGATAGAAATTACATTGAAAGGATAGTTTAAAGAAATTTAGTGATAAGATGATATATTACTCTGTAGAATTTTTAGTAGGACTAATTGGCTGGCCTGCTAACCACAGGGTTGGCTGTTTAAACCCACCAGTCTCTCCAAGGGAGGAAAACAGTTTTCTGCTCCCATAAAGATTTACAGCCTCAGGACCCTAAGAGTTGGAACGGACTCAGCAGCACTTAACAATAACAACAGCATTGACACTATAAGGATTCCTGGTGGCTCAGTGGGTTAAGCATTGGATTGCTAACTGAAAGGTTGGCAGTTCAAACCCACTAGTACTCTGTAGAGGAAAGATGAGACTGTCTACTTCCATAGGATTTACAGTCTCAGAAGCCCTAAGGAGCAGGTCTACTCCGTCCTATGGGGTTGCTGTAAGTTAGAATTGACTTGATTGATGGTAATAGGTTTTATTGGCATTATCGGAGTCCCTGGGTAGGGCATATGGTTATGCTTTTGAGTACTAACCAAAACGTTTGTGATTTGAAGCCATCCAGAGGCACTTTAAAAAAGGACCTAGTGATCTGTTTCCAAAAGTTCACAGCCATTGTCTACTCTATGGAGCACAGTTCTACACAGAGGCTCTCAATGAATCAGAGTTGACTTCATGAGAAATGGTGATTGGCATTATTATCCATTGGAACTATCTTCTGAAAATGTAAGTTAAGTGATCGTGTTTGTGAATGTTAGCATTATTGTAGAGCTTTCTTGATTTTCTGAGAAATCAGAGGGTACTCATTAGGAACACGACGAAAGGAAGGCAGAGATCGGTGATAAATATATATCAAGTTACTTGTTGTTGTTGTTAAGTGCCGATGAGTCGGTTCCGACCCATAGCGACCCTGTACAGGGTTTCCGAGGGTGTAAATCTTTACGGGAGTAGAAAGCCTCATCTTTCTCCCGCGGAACGGCTGGTAGTTTCGAACCGCTGACCTTAAGGTTCGCAGCCCGATTCGTAACCACTACGCTACCAGAGTTACTAGATGGCTAAAAATGGAAATAATTATAGAAAAGCTTGGGGAGAAATTGAGAATTGAGATTTATTATGTTTGGCTATAAAAGTGATATATGTGTATGTAAATTGAATTGGAAAAAGAAAAAAGAGAATAATTCTCACATAATCCTTGAACTGTACCAGTTGCTAAATAGCATTTAGGCACTTTTCTTCCAATCTTTTTCCACTACTATTTTAAATTGTAACATCCTTGATTTCTCATTGCACATACAGTTTTAAATCTTGGAATCTTCCAAACTCCCATTAAATAGAGTGGGCAGGATACCAGTCAGTGTTTGGAGTCTGGCCTGCATTTAAATCCTGCTTCTACGCTTATTAGCTAAGATCCATTCTGACTCATAGCAACTCTATATAGGGTTTTGGAGACTATACATTTTGATGGGAGCAGTAACTCTCATCTCTCTCCCAAGGAGCAGCTGGTGGGTTTGAACAGATGATCCTTCGGTTAGAAGTCCAATGCTTATCCCACAGGACCACTAAGCACCTTAATTTACTTGAGCCTCGGTTATATATCTGTAAGATGGGAATCACAACTAAAACTTGCTCAGAGAGTTGTTCTGAGGATTAAAGAATGAAGGTGATGTCTCTGTACAGAGTCATGCATAAAGACATCACCTGATGCATTCATGAGTGGCAGCAAATCAGCCTTGCCACGGCAAGGTGTAACATTGGCCCCCCTTAGATGTGGTGAGGAAATGAGGCCAGTGCTTTTCTTTCAATTAAATCACCTCCAGAAGTCAAGATCCACAGTGCCAGGTGGCCAGCCGAGGTGCAATGTCTCTGTTAATAATTCAGGCCACATTTAGGTCAGTCTGTTGCACTGTGATGGCTTGTGTATTGCTGTGCTGCCAGAAGCTACACCACCAGTATTTCAAACACCATCAGGGTCACCTACGGTGGACAGGTTTCAGAAGAACTTCCAGAGTTAAGACAAACTACAAAGAAAGGTCTGGTGATCTACTCCCCAGTTTTACCCAACAAAAATCTTGTGGATCACACAGAATATTGTCTGATACACTGCTGGAAGATGAGCCCCTCACTACATTGGAGGGTACTCAAAATGCACGGAAGCTGAAGAAATGGACTCAAGTATAATGCCAATGACCATGAAGGTGGTGCAGGACCGGACGACATTTCATTGTGTTGCACATGGGTCTCCATAAGTAGTAGCTAACATGAAGGAAAGTAACAACAGCTCCTTAGTTATGTTCTGGGAGCTCCAGTTACCCAAAGTGGGCACCCTTGTCAGTACCAGTTTCCTGGCCACAGGATTGCTGAGCACAGGGCTTGGTGCTGAGCAGACTATTTACATTTCCTCAAATATTCTGTACTCTCCTTACCATAAATGCAAACTTGGGCCTCCATGACACTGAAAACAAAGCAGAGAAAAACAGAACAAATCTGTTTCACTTGCTCCTGGAAATTCTCTATCTTACTTTTCACTGGCAGACTTCTTTTTTCCATATCTATATTCACTGTGAGAATTCCCACCACTGTGAGAATGTTCTGAGTACCTACTACTTCTCTGAAAGTGCTCTTCTGAAGGTCACTCTTCATTGCCAAATCCATTAGGCTTACCATACACAGATCATGCCATTATGCCTGTAAAGTGTCTCTGTTGAGTGGAACTTTCTATGTTGATAAACTGTGTTCTTTCTATATTATCCAACATGGTTACCATTCGTTATTATTGTTGGGTGCTGTTGAGTTGGCGCCAACTCACAGCGGCCCTGTGTGAAGTAAATGAAACCCTGCCTAGTCCTGCATCGTCCTCATAATTGTTATGTTTGAGCCCATTGTTGCAGTCACTGGTCAGTCTATCTTATTGAGGTTCTTTTTTTTTTTACCTCTGACCTTCTATTTCATCAAGCACAGTATCCTTCTCTAGGGAATGGTCTCTCTTGATAACATGTGCCAAGTATCTGAGTTGAAGTCTCACCATTCTTTTTGTTATTACCCTCCTTTCATGACAGATTTCGTTCATTCGTCTGACAGTCCATGGTGTATTCAATATTCTTTGCCAACACAGTCATTCAAAGGCATCAAGTCTTTGTTTTCCTTACTTATTGTCTTGCTTTCCCATGCCTATAAGGCTATAGAAAAGACCATAGCTTGGATTGGGTGTACCTTAGTCCTCAAAGCAACATCTTTGGTTTTAAACACTTTCAAGAGTTCTTTTGTAGCAGATTTGACTAATGCAATACATGGCTTGATTTCTTGATGGCTGCTTCCATGAGAGTTGATGGTGGATCCAAGCAAAATGAAATTCTTGACAACTTCATTATTTTCTGAATTTATCATGATGCCTCTTACTGGTCTAATTTTGAGGACTTTTGCTTACTTTGTTCAAGTGTAATTCATAAGCTACTGTCACCCTGACAACGTTGAAAGACTATCTAAAATCTCTAACTTCTCTAGTGGCATCAGCTTTATGCTATTTGTGTATATCCATTGCAGTATATCACTGTAGCCTGTCATTTCACAGCTACACAAATCAGTCATAGTGTATGTCACAGTAACAACTTGGTGTACAGCTACAGTTGATTGTCGGTATTAAAAAAATAAATGTGAGTAGAAAGAAATGTACTTCTTATTCCTCTGATGTTGCAGTTTTAAGGGTCTGAAAATTGTTGTTCTATGGCTGTTATGAGGCAGTTACCTCAACTGTGCTTTTCTTTCTCTCTCACATTTCAGAGGACACATGTTCAAAGGGCCTTTTTTTTCATAAACGATCTTGACATGGCCACATTAAACCCAAGAGCAAAACTATGTATGACAATACCTCTGGCTCCAGCTGCCAAAAATAGCATGTAGGGACACATCGTAGTTGAAAAGGGATAATGGTCCCTTTATAGTGACTTGCTTGGAATTATAAATATTTTTATTTCTCCCATAGGAGATGGCTCATGGAAGCGAGGAGACAAGCATGACTTTGAAGCTAAGCAGGCGTACTCATCCCTCCAAACAGTCACTCTACTGAGGACAGTGAAACCTGAGTTTGAGAAGTTTTCCATGGAGGTGAAAAGTTCTGTTGAGAAACAAGGGCTCAATGAGGAGGATTACGTAAGTGCTTGATTATAAACCTAGACCTTCACCATCATGAAAATAATCTTCTAATTCAATCAAAGGTGACAATATGTCCCATTCTGAACCATTCACAAATTCCTAGTTTCAAGTCTGATTGTCACTGTAGCTTCCTGTGTGTGTGTGTGTTTTCTGGCCAGCTTTCCTCCCTCCCTCCTCCATTCTCCCTATACCCCTATGATTTACTTACTTTTGTATAACTGCTGCAGGAAAGAAAATTGCTTCTTTGGGGGTGCTATGGGAATACTGAGTTTACATTGATATACTTCCATCGATCTCTCTGGCTAAGAGGCATTTGGGAGAGAAGATGGATGAAGGAGTGCCAAAATTTTACATGCCTAGTTTTCCAAAGCTTGATGGCAGAAGGTATTTGGGGTTTTACAAGTTTCTTTCTTTTGGCTCTTTTTTGAAGAAGCCCGAGCGCCTCAGTGTTAAATATATTTGGTTGATAACAGAAATTTTGGTGGTTTGAACCCACCATATGTTCCAAGGAAAGAGAGATGTGGTAGTGTGATTCTGTAAAGATGACAGCCTGGGGAGCCTTACTGGGGAGTTCTACTATGACTAGATGGTCATCATGAGTTGGAATCGACTTGCTGGCCATGGTTTTCTCTTCAGGCAATCTGGCTTAGTTTTATGTCCAGTCTGTTCCTAGTCTAGTATCTCAGGGCTTTCCATACCATTCATACTGTTGTTACTTATGCATTTTCTAAGAGTGGACTACAGCCAGATGAGGCTAACGATGCTTACTTACATAGAAGAACTTATCTATGAATGGCACCAAAGACAGATGACCACACCTCACTTGGTGTCATTGTTCCATCATTCCAGCTGCTTTGGACACACACTGCAGTGCTGCTTTTTCTCGCTTCTGCACATTCTTTCTAAGAATAAGATGAGCAGTGTATCCGTTGGGTCAGTTGGGAGACTGTGCTGGGTTTAAAAACTGTTAACTTCATAGTCTCTAACCAATAAAAGGGGACACCTTCTTCATATGGCTTGAATAGTCCCTCCCCAAGATGGATGATGAAGAACTTCATAAGATATGGTCACTTCCAAATAAGACTTTTTCTAATTTCCTTACTTGAACTACCAGAGTACTAGAAGAGATCTGCCTTCAGAGCCTGGGTCTATCACTTTCCAGCAGTGTGATCTTGGGAAAATCACTCAATCTCCCTAATCCAGGGTCATGTTGTGGGAAGAATTACAGATAATCTGTCTGAATCATTTAGTACTACCCCCGTCATAGAGTTGGAACTAGAAAGTCGTGTCTTTCTGGTATTATTGTTAAAAGATCATATCTGTCTTTATATGAATTTTCTATCAATGACATAAAAAGTCTTATAAACATATTTATTAATGATTCAAATATGAAGTCCTGGTATGGCACTGTATGATAGTACTGGAGTTCTCAAGGTCAGTTTGAACCATAATGTCAGTTTAAAATATGTATGTATGATATATATAAACACATATGTGCATTGTATACACACATCACTTAAAGACCTTTGGCAGTCTAAATCAATAGATGTCCAATAGAAATATATGCAAGTCACAAATGAGAGCCACATATATGATTTACAGTTTCCTAGTAAGAACACTGAAAGTAAAAAACAAACAAACCACCAAGCCAAAATAAAATAATAATAAAAAACCTCACACAGTTGAAATTAATTTTAAAAATACATTTTTGTTAAACTAAATACATAAAAGCCATCATTTGGGAACACTTAATGTTTAATCATTAATTAAATTGGAGCTTGTTATAATGACTTAATCCAGTTCTGAAAATGTTTGTCTTTAGTATTTCTGAGTGTTTTAGGTGATCTCCTTTGAGTGCCAAGTGCAGAAGTCTGTCAGTTGAGTTGAGAAAGATAGCCATGGTGAGTATTGTGAAGAAGGAGATATGGGAAAGAACAAAGAACCTACACATATAGCAAGAGCTGATAGTCTTCACTGTGGGGCTCAACTCTTTTCTAGGTCTTTCTACTTCTTTTATTCCTACAAATGGGTTGTCTCATTTGCTTGCTTAAAACTTCAACTCATGAAGTCCCAACTCATAGCGACAATTTATATGGTTTCTGAGAAACGGTTGATGAGTTTGAACCATGTGGTGTTTATAATTTCTCTTACTATTGCTATACTGTTGTTATACCAGAAAGCATCAAAAGAAGATGGAAGGAATACACAGAGTCACTGTACCAGAAAGAGATGGTCGATATTCAACCATTTGAAGAGGTACCATATGATCAAGAGCCAATGGTACTGACAGAAGATGTCCAAGGTGCATAGGGCAAAGAACAAGGCACTGAGAATTGATGGATTACAAATTGAGATCTTTCAATAGACTTAGGCAACACTGGAGGCACTCACTCATCTTTGCCAAGAAATTTGGAAGACAACTACCTGAACAGTTGACAACTACCTGATCCATTTTTACGCTCATTCTAAAGAAAGAAAACACAATGGAATGTGGAAATCATTGGACAGCATCATTAATATCCCATGCAAGCAAAATTTTTCTAATGATAATAACAATATGGCTGCAACCATATATTAACAGAGAACTTCCAGAGATTCAAGCCAGATTCAGAAGGGGACGTGGAATGAGAGCTGTCATTGCTGACATCAGATGGATATTGGCTGAGAGCAAAGAATACCAGAAAGATGCTTACCTGTGCTTTATTGACTACGCAAAGGCTGTAGACTGTGTGAATCATGACAAACTACCGACAACATTGCAGAGAATGAATATTCCAGAACACGTAATTGTGCTCATGAGGAATCTGTATGTAGAATAAGAGGCAGTTGTTTGAACAAAACTAGGGAACATTGGATGGCTTAAAATCTTTCACCATACTTATTCAATCTGTAGACTGAACAAATAATCCGAAAAACTGATTTGTATGAAGACAAATGTAGCACCAGAAAAAATGTGGCATCTTTAACAACCTGCAATATGCAGATGGTACAACTTGCTTGCTGAAAGCAAAGAGGACTTAAAATACTGATAAAGATCAAAGACCACAGCCTTCGGTATGGGTTGCATTTCAATGTAAAGAAAACAAAAATTCTAACCACTGAACCAATGAATAACAACATCCATGTAAATGGAGAAAAGATTGAAGTTGTCAAAAATGTCATTTTGCTTAGAACAACCATCAACACTTATGGAAGCAGTAGTCAAGAAATCAAATGAAGTATTGCATTAGTCAGATCTGCTGCACAAGACCTCTTTAAAGTGTTGAAGAGCAAAGGTGTCAGTTTGAGGACTAAGGTGTGCGCTGACTCAAGCCATGGTATTTTCAATAATCTCATATGCATGTGCAAGTTGTACAATGAGTAAGGAAGACCTTAGAAGAATGGATGCATTTGAACTATGGTATTGGAGGAAAACATTAAAAGTACCATCAACTGCCAAAAGAACAAATCAATCTGTGTTGGAAGAAATATAGCCAGCATGCTCCATGGAAGCCAGGATGGTCAGATTTTGATTCTCATACTTCAGACATGTTTTAAGGAGGGACCAGTCCCTTGAGAAGGATATAATATTTGGTAAAATGGAGGGTGGGAGAAAAAGAAGAAGACCCCCATTGTGATGGATTGGCACAATGGCAGCAGTGATGGGCTCAAATGTAGCAATGATTTTGAGGTTGGCGCAGGAGTGGGCAGTGTTTCGTTCTGTTGTGCATAGGGTTGCTATGAGTCGATACTGACAAGATGGTACCTAGCAACAACATTGTTACAGTGCAGACCAATGAGTATGCTGCTCCTGCATGCCTAACACCCTTCATATTCCTTCACGTCTTAAGTAGCACATCTTTAAGATGGCCTCTCCTGACCTTTCAGACTATCATGCGGCACTCTGCCCTTTTCCATCAGAAAACATCTCTCATGTTGTAGTTGTGTAGTTTGGGATTTCTTAACTATGTCTCCTTTCCTAGACTCTCCACTCTACTGGAGTAGGAACCATGTCTGCCCCTGCTCACTGTATGCTTGACTCATAGAAAATGCTCCCTACAAGCAAGATACTATTATTATTATTGTGTAGTCCCCGGGTGATGCAAATTGTTAATGAGTTCAGCTGCTAACCAAAACGTTGGTATTTGAGCCCACTCAGAGGCATCTTGAAAGAAAAATCTGGTAATCTACTTAAAAAAAAAAACAGTCACTGAAAAATCCATGGGGCACAGTTCTACTCCAGTACACACAGGGTCAGTATGAATTAGAGTCAGCTGGGTAGAATAGGTATTATTATTGTGCTTTTTATTCATTTTGTTATTGAATTGTCAGGACAGCTAATCCAACCCTCTTCATGAACATTGGTAGAAATTGAGGTCTAGTGGAGGCGTGTGAGGAGGTCTTCCCAGATTTATAGTGCACTCAGTACAAGAAGATTGGGTGACGATGATGGTGCCTTGACCTTTCTAGATACATAAAACCAAGTGTTTGGTTTCACTTATATTGTAGGAGATGGTGTTGGGGAATAGCAATAGCCTTTTACATTGAGATCTTGGAGACTGTTTGGGGGGCATCATAAATCTAAAGTTCAGAAGTGGAGCATCACTGAGGGGGTGCTGGGCACAGTCTGCCTGGCCTTCTCTGGTGGTTTTTATTGGGCTGCCCACAGGTGCGGTGGCTCTCTCTTGGCATCTGCCCTGCGAGAGCGTCCAATTCCAGAGCAGTGGCATTTGGTTTTAGAATGCGCTGTGTGGTGGCCAAGCCAAGATTAGATGCATCCCCTGACTCCTGGTTCAGTGAGTTTCTTTTTCCACTACATCAGTCTGACCCTTTTAATAACAATGTACCCAATATGGGGTGAACCCGTGACCTGAAGATTAAGTGTCTCAGGCTCTACAAGTAAGCCTGGCAGGCAACACAGGCTGAAGTATTTCTTCCTTTCCCTGTACCTCGCCTGCCCAAATACACATTTTTGTGTCTCTTTATTCTTGCACACACTTGGCAAAGACTAGGCAGAA